TGTTTGTCTTAATTTGTCTCTTGTTCATGGATATTTTATCCCAGAAACACCAATGAGAGGGGTAAAATAACTACTGGTATGTTCACTAACCACTGCTGTGAGCTTGGGCAATTTAAGAACAGCAATAATAATAAAATATATCATATGTGCACATGAGCTCTCTGTTTTGGGGCAGCACATGGATTTTCTGAGGGTTGAGAAGGTTGGACTGAGAAGTTCCTATTCAGGATTGTCCAGGGCAGAAATTTAAAATGAAAACCAAGTTTTTATAGTTGAACCTGTGATGTCCTTGCAAGCAAAGATCTTCCAGCCTGAAGAACGAGTTCTGGGGTATCCAGTTTTCATATTTCCAAGGACTGAGTCCTCATCCCCATGAGGAAGAATTTTTCCTTTATTTTCCAATCAAATTTTCCCATATTGCAACTTTTCCACCCACCCTCTTGTCTTTTCACTTCAGATGGGTCTGACGCCATTTGTTTCTCTGCCTTAGGTTTCAGAAATGGAAGGACTTACTTAGAAACTGCTTTGACCTTCTTTTCTTCTGCTCAGAAGCCCCATTTTCACCACCCAGCTGTCCTGGTGGCCCCACCTGGGCTTGTGCCAGTTTATTTTCACATGCATGGAAGGACCCACAATCCAGATGTGATCAGACAATCACTGATCAGAGGGTAGAACCTCTTCCCTCGAGCTGCTGGTGGCACTGTCCTGCAGTCCAGGGACACACTGAGGCCCCTGTCTGACCTGCTCCCCTCCAGCCCCTTCCTGAAGAGCTGCAGCCCAGCCAGCTCCAGGGCAGGGGCTGTTCTGCCCCACGTGCAAGACTCTGTGGGGAACTGGAGCAGCATCAAAGCCTGTGGGGCTCAGTGTCCCCCAGGCTGGGAGAGGCTGGGGCTGCTCCAGCAGCTCCTCTGGAAGGAGCTCGTTGTTCCAGGCATCTCTCAGACACACAGATCCTCAGTCCCAGTGACTCACACAGTACAGAGACAGAGATGAGCAAATCTAAAGTCTGGAAGAAATAGTTCCTTAGCATAAGGTCATTTTTTATTGTTCTCATGAAAAGGGGGCTCATAAAAAAGAGGCAGAATGACTTTTTACATGGGCAGAGAGTGCCAGGACAAGGGACAGTGGTTTTAAACCGAGAGAGGAGAGATTTAGATGGCATATTGAGAAGAAATTCTTCCCTGTGAGAGGGAGAGGCCCTGGCACAGGTTGCCCAGAGAAGCTGTGGCTGCCCCATACCTGGAAGTGTCCAAGGCCAGGTTGGACGGGGCTTGGAGCAACCTGGGCTAGTGGAAGGTGTCCCTGCCCAGGGCAGGGGCTGGGACTGGATGAGTTTTAAGGTCTCTTTCTACCCAAACCAGTGTAGGATTCTGTGTTGCCTCAAAGAAATGTGACAGGTTTTATTTCAACCTGTTCATTCTCTAATTGCATGTGGACTTGGAGGAGTTCAATAAGCTCCATGGCCCAGCTACCAGGGGAATGAAAGGCTTGGCCCTTAAAGTTCATCAAAGACCTCTGAAAAGCTCTGCCTATAATGTGAAAGCAACAACTGCTATTGGTGAACTTCCGACATGAAGGGGAAACCTCTCAAATTCTTGTTTTCAGCTCAACTAAGCTGGTGTTGAAATGCTTCCCTTGTGTCTCTCAGTTAGATTAAGGCCTCATAGAATCACAAAATCATAGAATTACAGAGGGTGGAAAAGCCCTTTGAAGGCATCCAGTCCAACTGCTCCCCCAGCACAGCCAAGGCCACCACTGACTCCTGTCCCCAAGTGCCACATCCACATGGTTGTTAAATCCCCCCCAGGGATGTGACTCACCCCTGCTCTGGGCAGCTGTGCCAGGGCTGGACAGCCCGTTCAGCAATGAAATTTTGCCTGTCACCCAGCCTAAAGCTGGCACAACTTGAGGCTGTTTCCCCTCATCCTTGTTCCCTGGGAGAAGACACCAACACCTTGGGCAGCCTGTGCCAGTGTCACCTGCCCTGCATGTGCCCTGCAAGATGAACTGAGCCCCAGGCAGGAACTCCCAGGGCAAACTCTGATTTCCACAGGCAAACCTGACTGTGGTTAGTTCTGGCCTAGAGTGGGATGTTCACATACTGCACCACACAAGTAAACTGAAGCACAGCTACAGCTTGGCAGCTACTAAAGAAAATAATGATGGCCCATGCAGAAATTAGGGTGTCATTTGTCCTTGGGCTGGCTCGGGACCTGTCCCCACTGACCAGGACTGCCTTCCCCCTCACAGCTCTATACACTCTGCTGAGGGACCAGCACTGGCAGCCCCTGGAGGTGTCCATGGCCCAAATCAAGGCTCAGGTTTGATTTCACTGCAGTTTTGATCTCTACCAATCCAAGCCCCAGCAGGGCTGGGATGGAATGGGATCTGCATTATTTTGCTGCAGCAGCACTGGTGACCCAGGGACTCCAGTGGTGTTTTGTAACATTGCTCTGTAGGTCCAGGCTCGCTGGGATCCCACTGAGAAGACCCTCCAGGCCACCTCCCACCTTTCCCTCACTTGGAAAACACAGAGATCATTCCAGAGCGTTTCTGCAGAGGCTGTTTGGCTGGTGTGTGTGCTGGCACTGAGATCACCACGGCTCTACCAGCTGAATTTAAAGGGTTCATTGATCTGATTGTTCACTCAATTCTCCAAACACCCCAGGAAATCACTCCTTGATGCTTCTCCAAAGGATCAGTGCTCAGGAAAGGACACATGTCCCTAAGACAAACCTGCAGCTAAACACCAGCCCAGGTTTGACACAAACCCACAAAGATTATGGGTTTATAGGCAGATGGCAGAGTTTCAGTGTAAATTAAACCCAGATGAGGAGTTTATAGAATCAGAGAATGGCTGATGTTGGAAGGGAACTTGAAGATCATCTCTGACCTAATACCACTCAAACATGGAAACCAAAGCCAAACTTAGATTTGTTTCTTATCTCAAAATTCTATAGAATCGGTGATTCCTGGCAAAAGGAAACACATCATCTCTGTTTTACAGGGAACCAGTGACAATGCTGGGTCCAGCACTGCAAAAGTGTCATTTTGTGTCATAGCACCGGTTTCCTCCTCCCTGGCAGCTTTTGTGACCCTGATGGAGCATCTGCCCAGAAATTTTGTAGGGTCAAGAGCCAATCGAAACTTGACAGGTTTGGAACTGAAAGAGGTTTGTTTGTTGGTTGGTTGGTTGGTTGGTTGGTTTGGGTTGGTTTTTTTGTTGTTTGGGGTTTTTTGTTTTTTGGTTTTGTTTTGTTTTTTTAATCTGGGGTATATAGCAAGACAAAGAAACTCTCTCTGCATTTCTGCTTTGAATACCAGCACCTTTCTCATTTTCATGGCATCATTCTGGTCCCAGTGTTCCCCACCATGGACACAATGGCACCATCAATTCCTCTGCTTTCACTGTTTTTAGGCTGAAAATGAGGCACATCACGACGCTGATCCCCACACTGAGGCAGAGAGGGTGAACGTGCTGAGGGCTCTGACTGCAACTGAAGGCCTAGAAAATGAGATTTTTGCCATAAAAGAACTTAATCCAATTTAGATTCTAAAGTGAAGCTCGATGTACCTTGGGCAAATCACTGAACCCATCTTTGCTGCTCAGAATGAGAATAAACACCACTCAAAATGGCAATGAACACCACTCCTGTCCCTCTGCCTTCACACACTGCCAGGTCTGCAAAGCCTCTGGCTCTCCTGCTGGGTGACTGGGGTAGTGATGAATTTCCACTGGAACATTAAGCCTCTGCCATTAAATGAGCAATAAAGTGACGACAAATAAAATATACTGTTGCTGGAGAGAAAACTATGAATTATACATGTGGCTGCCACTGGCTGGCGGCCTTGGAGGGCAGTGCCAGCCCTCTGCTGCCTCCCAGCCACCTTCAGACAGGCAACACTTTTTAATTGTTATTTCTTCACTAAATAGCAATCCCATGTGGTACCTCTGAGCAACAAGAAACAGAAAGTCAAACTCCTGAATGTTCCACCTTGGAATGGCATTAAATATTTTTTGGTTATTTTTAGAGAGAGTAACTCCAAAGAAAAGGGTATTTTAGCACTAAAATGTGGTCAGCTGCACCACCAGGCTCAGTGCACCACCAGGGTGCTCCAAGACACTCGGCAGCCCCTGCCCAGCTCTGCAGCCCTGCCCAGCTCTGCAGTTCCACAGAGATGCCCAAGAGATTTTTAAGCTCCAGGAAAGCAGCTGCTCTGGAGCACTTTTAGGATTTGATAACAACAATTGTTTCAATTGTTTCAATGCCATTCTATAATTCTTTTGGGAATGACTTTTCACTGACGTTTACTCAAAGTAAGGTCAATTAAGGAATAAAGAGACCTCATGAATGCTGAAGTGCAACACTTGCTTTATTTCTGTGTTGTTTCCTTTTGGAGATTTTCCAATACTATGAATTTTAATAAAGAATAATTCCCTAAAATGAATTCCATTACACACTTGTGATTCAGAAGAACACATTCATTATATGTCTTTCCACCTGACTCCAGAGAAGACAACTGAGATGGAGATTTATTCTCACACCACAGTGAATTCCACCTGCCTCCTTCTCATAAGGGATTTACATGGGAAGTTTCAGCTGAATATGAGGGAAAATTCTTTATTGTGCATTGGAAGCAGCTGCCCATGAAAAGTGTGGAATCTCCTTCCCTGGAGATGTTCCGAACCCTTCCTGAATGTGATCCCAGGTAACCTGCTCTGGGTCAATCTGCTTGAGCAGAGATTTGGATGAGATGATTTCCAGAGGTCTCTTCCTACCCCAACCACCCTGTGAGTCTGGGATTTCCCACAGGTGACATACCTGGGGTAGGTTCCCGTTTCTTTGATCACTCTCCTCCCATTGCCACAGGTCCTGATTTTTACCTTTATCTTTCATTTTCTACAAACTCATGGACAGGGGTGTCGGGTGTTCTGCATTTGACCGGGATGGCAGAAGACGTGGCAACATTGCCTGAAAGAGTTGAAGGAGACTCCGGGGTGGGGAGCTTGGAGTGCCACCAAGGTGTCCGTCACTTTCCCTCCTGTTCTCCCGGGAAGTGGCCCTTGGAGCAGACAAACACCTTCCCAACCTTCTCCCTGATCTGCTGCACCTTCACTCCGTAGACGACGGGGTTCAGCAGCGGCGGGAACAGCACGTACAGGTTGGCCGGCAGGATGTGGATGTGGCGGGGGATGTCCCAGCCAAAGCGGTGCGTCAGTGCCGTGAAACCGGCGGGAACGTAGAAAAACACCAAAACACAGATGTGAGAGCCACAGGTGTTGAAAGCCTTGTGGTTGGAGGGGAGCCTGAGCAGTGCCACGAGGATGAACGCGTAGGACACGGCAATGAGGACGAGGTCGAGCGCAACCACAGCCAGGGGCACCGTGAGGCCACACCAGAGGTTGGCGGAGATGTCGGCGCAGGCCAGGCGGGTGATGCCGATGTGCTCGCAGTACGTGTGCGGGATGACGTTGTGCCCGCAGAACGGCAGCCGCTTCAGCAGGAAAATGCAAGGGAAAACGATGCAGAAGCCCCTCAGCAAAGCCACCAGGCCGGTCTTGGCCACTGCCACTGGGGTCAGCACCGCCCCGTAGCGCAGCAGGCGGCAGATGGCAACGAAGCGGTCGAAGGCCATGGCCAGCAGGATCATCAACTCTGCCGAGCAGGCGAAGTGCAGCAAGAACATCTGGGTGAGGCAGGCGCCGAAGGAAATCTCCCTGGCACGGAACCAGAACAGGGCCAGCATCTCGGGCACCGCCGTGGTGGAGAGCGCCAGGTCAGCCACAGCCAGTATGGACAGGAAGAGGTGCATGGGCTGGTGCAGGCTGTGCTCGCTCCAGATGGTGAACAGCAGGACACCGTTCCCCAGTAGGGCTGCCAGCTACATGGTGCAGAACGGGATGGAGAGCCAGGTGTGCAGCTGCTCCATGCCCGGGATCCCAGCCAGGATGAATGTGGCTGGCGTCAGGCCAGTCAGGTTGACCAGGGCCGTGTTTACCTGAAAGCAAAGGCAGAAGGCACTGCAGAACGGTGTTGTAGGTGCTTGAGCTCCTCCACTGGCACCAAATGCCTGGTGTCACCTGCTCTGCTCTGTGAAGAGCCACAGCCAGAGGTACAAACCCAATTCACAGGCCCCATGGTTTGCACCGCCCTGCAGCCTTTCCTGACCCCCCTGTCCTGTGGAAACAGCAACATCCATATTTTCTCCTAATTTCATTTTAATACAACATAAATGTATTTTTCTTCCAAGTGCTTCCACTTCAAACAGAGTGACTGGAGGTAGAATCAGCCTGGGTGCACAAATACTGTGATATTTCTATGTTCTCTGAGCCCAGAGTAGAAGGAAGAAGTCGAGCAATGAGAGAAGAAAGGTCAAGTGTTCACAGAGATGCACAAGATGTTCTCAGACATCAGAAATGGGGAGTTCTAAGGCTCCTGGACTCCCACTTAGGGTAGAGAACAAAATCAGCTCCAAGTCTGAAGCTGGCTGCATGTTTGTTCCTTATCTCCAAGGTCTCTCCCTCCACTTTGGGCTCTGGGACCCAGTTCAGTTCTTTTTCAGAGCAGAAATAGAATTTAACCAGGCATTTGGGAATACCTTTGTGTCAGGGGAAAATCAAGTCATGTGGAATTCCCCTGCTAGCCAAAGGAAGGATGTGCTGCTGCCCTGGAGAGGCCTGAGAGCCCCAGAGGCTACATCAGACCCAGACTCACGAAAGTTAAAAAGAGATGCAAATGTTTCGGCAGCTTCTGCCTTAACAGCCAGGTCTTAACATATCAAAACTCAAACCAAGAATTATCCATAACACAGCCAAGAGGAGAAAGTGGTGCAAAGGCTGAAAAACAAAACTGTGAGGTTCCTGCACACAAAAAAATTGACTCTGTGTGTGAGAAAGCAAGTGTATCTTCAACAACAGATTGGATTCCCTGTTCACATTCAATTCCATGTCTACAATATTCTGAACCGTGAAAGTCCAAGGAGCCTGATCCAGGGAAACACAACATGACAGTGGACTGTCTTTGAAAATAAAACTCATCAAAATAATAAGTGATTCTATAATAATAATGAGAATATGGAAAACCATTGTATAACAATAACTACTATTCTCTATTAATAACAACCAATCCTATAAATTATTTAAAACAGTTCAGTGTAAATATTGCATGAAACAAAAATAGATGTGGTGTATTAACAGACAAAATATTACTAGTGCTGGTAGCTGACAGCTGTGCTGCCATGCCAACAGCTCTGCCTCTCCAGCAAAATAGGAATGCAAAACTGCAAAGAAACATGGATCCACTGGAAACCTCAGTGCACCAGGAGCTCTCCACCAAAGGATTCTCCTCAGCATTAGATCCCTTCTCCATGATCTATCAGACCCCTTCCTCCATGATCCATCCTCACCATAAACCTCTATTATTACAGTTTTTAATGCAGCTCTAAGGATGCAGCTCCCACAGCTTCCCTGAGCAGCCCCTTGGATTCTTCTTCCCTAAACTCTTTTAATTTCAATTTAAACTAAAAGCAATTACCTAAAAAAAACCAAAGTCCATCCCTCCCGAGCTGCCCTGATATGACGGGAAGCTGTGCAGAGAACTGTGGGATCACTGCAGAAGGGTTTTACTGCTGCCGAGGGAGAGAGGCTGAAGCCCCCCCGCTGTATCCACGGGGGCAACCTCCCCCCACCCCCAGATAACCGGCCTTCAGGAGAAGGGTCAGGGAAACAAAACCAGGCTGGGGGAGAGAGGATTCCCGGGTTATTCCGGGTGACTCCCCTCTCAAGAGAAGGAAAACCGCAGAGCCGTTTGCCTTGCACGGAGGGCAGTGGCGGGGATGGTGGGGCTGAGCCAGGCGGGAGATCCACGCCGGCTTCGCCCCTCCGACCGTGCGGGATCACTCCCGCCTGCTCCTGCTGCTCGGTCACCTCTAGCCGGCACCCCCAGCTCTCGGGACACCCCCAGCTCTCGGGACACCCCCAGCCCGCACCCCCAGCTCTCGGGACACCCCCAGCCCGCACCCTCAGCTCTCAGGACACCCCCAGCTCTCGGGACACCCCCAGCTCTCGGGACACCCCCAGCCCGCACCCCCAGCTCTCGGGACACCCCCGCAGCCTCGGGACTACCCCCCAGCCTCGGGACACCCCCAGCCCGCACCCCCAGCTCTCGGGGACACCTCGTCCCCGTCGGAGAGTGCGGATCTCAGCCTGAGCGCGGCGGATCTCTCCGCTCAGGAAGGAAAGCTTTTCTCCGGTTTGTTGTTGACAGGGAATTTGACAGCTCTGCGCCAGCCTCTCAGTGCCCCAGAGATCCCTCGGGCCCCAAATCCACAACACAAACAGCTCGCCAGCTCCCGACCTGGGGAGGAGGGGGGTCCCCGGCTGCGCTGGGGCGGTGCCGAAGCCGGCGTGGTGGGAGCGCGGTACCTGCTCGGGACTCCCGAGGGCAGGGAGGCTCCGTGCCCTGCTCGGCAGCCGCAGCGTCCCTGGGGTGCCCTCCCAGTGCCCCAGTGAGGAGCTGAGCCGTGGGGTGCCCCCTGACTCCCCAGCCCCGCCCGGCCCCACACACAGAAGGTGTCCCCACTCGCGGGTCCCCACTCGCGGCTCCGTGAGAGCCAACCCAGCGAGGGCACGGCGACATCCCCGCCGCCCCTCCTGTGCCGGGGCCCCGCAGGCTGTGGCAAGGCTCGGCCAAACTTTGGGAAAACGGGTGTGAAGAGACCGACAAGCCAGTCTGACACGGACGGTGTCGAGCAGCAGAGCGAGCACGGGAGGAGATCACTTCTGCAAATGGCTGAGCATACCTGCAGAAATAGCGATCCCTGACTGGAATAATTATTGTTATGCAGATCACTCTTGGTGATTAATTCCCTAAAAGGAATTTGGAAGAGTTTCCCCACGGAAATGAGAGAGGAGATCTGTGGACTAGGCTCCTCCAAGGGATGGGAGGAAGATTCTGGGGCTCAGGAGCCCTCCTTGGAAGGACAGAGTGGCAGGGTGGCATCGCTGCCCATGGCAGGGATGTGAAACTAGATGATCTTTAAAGTCCCTGTCAACCCAAACCCTCCTGTGATGTGATTCTATGAATGACTGGACCCCACCCCCGGAGCAGTGGGTGACCACCCCTCCCTCCAGCCCCCAGGGATCTCACCGTGGTTAATGTTCAAACACATCCACCTGCAGGAACAATTTCCTGCAGGCTGGACCATTCCAGCACTAATGACTCCAGGCAGCAGCAGCAGGGGAGTCACCCCAGCACCTGGAGAAACACAGGAAGATTTTTGACCATAATGAAAACAATAATTCCACAAGAGCAATTGTGAAGTACAGCATCCAACACCCCTAAACCCCTCGAGGCAAGAGTGCCATGCTACTGCTTGATCAGAGTTGCAGGTAGTGCAGGCGTCATGGAAACATGGAATGGGTTGAGTTTGAAGAGACCCTAAAGATTATCTTGTCCCAACCCCTGCCATGGGCAGGGACACCTTCCACCAGCCCAGGGTGCTCCAAGCCCCATCTGACCTGGCCTTGGACACTTCAGGGATCCAGGGGCAACCACAGGTGCTCTGGGCAACCTGTGCCAGGGCCTGCCCACCCTCCCAGGGAAGGATTCCCACCCACATCCAATCTAAATCTTTCCTCTTTTGGTTTAAAATCATTGCCCTGTGTCCTATCCCTCTCTGCCCACATACAAAGTCACTCTCCACTTGGATTGCTAATCCAAATAAATCCCAGATACGAGGTGAGGCCTGGCTGTGTCGTGCTTTGGGCTGGCACAGGTGTCCCAGAGAGCTGCAGGATTGCTGCTGCAGTGGAATCACTGCTCCAGGCCCTGGAGAAGCACGGTTAACGCTCTCCAGGAGGACGCTGGCCAGCTGACATCTGCTGTCCTGGCCAGGCTGGAGATGTCTGCCTGGAACTATCCAACACTGCTGCCTGTGCCAGGGAAGGGGCCGGTGCCAGGGAACATGGGTGGGCACCAGAGCTCAGCCACTGTGTGAAGGAACAGATGGAAAGGTCCAGCCTTCAACTCGAAGGCTGGTTCCCAGCCAGCCTCATCCCTGGGGCCCAGGGAGAAGCATGACATGGGAAATACGAGCTCAGGGAACTCCAGGACCATTTCCACTTGAGACAACCAGCACACCCATCTGCTTGCAGGCTGCCATGGCCAACTCCACTGCAGAGCCCCCAAGGACCCTCCCTGTCCACTCCAGACCCTGCTCCCCTCGTTTTCTGAACACCCCTGTCCTGCTGGCTTTGCTTTGGGGATGTCAAACACCCTGAACCTTCACATCCCAGTGGGCCTTTTGGGCCTTCTGGGGTTCTGCTGCCAGCCCTGCACCCCCCACCTGGGCTCCCCCCTCTCCTCTCGCGGGCTCCCAGCAGTGGCATATTTTGGCAGCATCCACGTTCAATTCCCTGCTCTCAGAACAGACATGCTCCAGCGCCACCAGCAGAACAAACCTTCACCCAGCCGAGCAAAATTAGCTTTGTTTCAAAACAAAGCCAAAAGGAGGCAAATGTGTCTCAGCATCCCATGGTTTGCTTCTTGTTTGTGTGATGCTTGGAAAGAAGCTTCCACAGTCCCCAGGCCACTGCTCAGTTTCTTCATCTGCAATTTTCCAGTGCTCATGGAGGCACTGGGAAAACCCAGGTGCAGAGCAGAACGGCTCTGTTTGTTCAGCCTTCACTCACAGCTTTCAGAGTATTTGATGCCCGCATCAATTTTGTAAATTAGAAAAGTTTTCTTTTCATCAGAACTCCCCTGATCCATTCACAGAGAGCCTGGCTCGTGTCTGCAAGTCATGCCCAGGGCAGCTCCCAAAGGATGCAGTGTGGTGTCTGTTCCCAGACACTGTGCCAGGAGCAGGCGCTTCCAAAGCCCTGGATGTGTTTGCAGTCCCAAAGAGCTGCTCTGCAGTTGTCTGCTTGGACAAAATCTGCTGCCACTCACACCTGGGATATGGCAACCAATGCTCCCTGTCCCCATGATTCATCCCTCGTCCCCTCACTGCCACCAACAGCCCCTCTGGCCACTGGGGACAGCAGTGGCAGTGACCCCCGCCCTCCTGTCTGCTGGCTCTGGCTCCTGCTCGCTGAGAAGTGAAGGGGTAGCACAAGGGGGAATGGTTTAAACTAAAA